CACGACATCAGCACAATTTCTGTATCTTCAATGGAAAAATAGCAAGAAAAATACTACATTTGGAACAAATAAGTTAGACGATTTTCTGGTTTTAAATACAAATTTGAGCCAAAAACAGATTTTTGAATGGAGCTTTATTATAATTATTTGCTCCAATTTAGCTTGCTTCATTGTTGAACATTGATATTTTTAAATAGAAGGGCGCAAAGAAACACATTTGGAACAAATTTAAACTTAAAATAAGTCTCCGAATGATTTGTAACACTATTAAATAGCTCTAATTCAGGTTGTTTTATTGTTGAATGTGAACTTTAACACACTACGTTGGATAAATTTTGATAAAAAATTGTGGAATTATCGTTGAAATTAAATCTAACCCCGATTAAGAAAGTATGTGTTGATCTTTCAAAAAAAGGCACAAGGGAACACTTGGTACAAATTTAGAACATTTTCTGGTTTTGAATGCAAATTTGAACCAAATATTCGTCTATAATAAGTCTACACGTCTATGGAGGATAACTTTTTTTTTTTTTTAACGCAGACTTTAAATGTCGTTGAAATGCAATTCTCCACTAATTATGGATATTTTTTCTAAATATCTCAATAGCAAAAGCCGAAAGAAAGCACTTGGTAAGGCAAAGTTAGACCATTTTGTGGTTTTGAATTCAATTTTGAACCAAAAGTTTAAGACAATGTTGGATAGATTTTGATCGAAAAGAAAGAAACAATTGCGGAAAATGTGGTTCAAATGCAATCTTTCATGAATTTGAGACAGATTCTGCTTATATTTGCAATTATAGAAAAAAAAAAAAACAGGGAAACGCGTTTTGGAGACCAGTTCCTATTTTTAAATGCAAAATTAGATGAAAAAACGTGATATTTTAGATAGATGTTGGATGGTACATTACATTAAAAAGAGTGAAAATCGCAGAAGATGTAGTCGAAATGCAAGTTTCCACTAATTATGGACATTTTCTCTGAATATTTAAATAGATACAGCCAAACGAAAGCATTTAGTATAGGACAAAGTTAGACCATTTTGGGGTTTTGAATTCAATTTTGAACCAAAAATAGGTCTACTATAGTTTATCAAGACTACTTTGAATCGATTTTCTTCGAAAAGAAAGAAGCAATTGCGGAAGATGTAGTTGAAATGCAATATTTCACCAATTTTGGACAAACTCTGTTGATATTGGGAATTATTGAAAAAATAACAAGGAAACACGTTTGTGTTAGATAGTTAGATCATTTTCTATTTTTAAATGCAAAATTGGATCGAAAACACGTGTCTAAATGGAGTAATAATGTGTAATTATTTTCCCCAATTCAGCTACTTCGTTGGAATCATATATTAATTGAAAAGAAGTAGAAAATTGCGGAAAATGTCCTCAATATAATCTCATACCGAACTAGGACAGTCTTGCTTGATATTTAAATAGAAGAAAGGTACAAAAAAAAACACATTTGAAACTTTATTTAATTTTCTGGCTTTGAATGAAAATTTGGAGTAAAAATTAAAATACATCTCCGAATGATCCATGTCACTATAAGCTCCATTTTGGGTTGTTGTTGTTATATTGTTAAAAGTACACTTTAAAACACATTTGATACTATGTTGGATATATCAGAAAAAAAAAGGCACAAGGAAATCATATTTAGAACAAATTTGAACGATTTTCTGGTTTTAAAGGCAGATTTGAACGTAAAATAGGTCTCTCAACGGATTTGTATGACTATTTGCTCTAATTGGGGTTGTTCTAATGTTTAAAACAAAATTTAACAAATCCAGGACAGATCGCAGATAATATCGCTGAAATGCAACCTCACACCTATTCAGGAAAGTTGAAAGTGATTTAAAGCAAATTGCTCCGTTGAAAATAATATTAAAGTACTTAAACCAACTTAAAAACATTTATTACGCGTGAGGTTCTTTTCACAATATTCTACTTATTACTAAAAAATTATAATGATAAGTACTTAATAACTATTTTCACAAAATATATATCAAACAATCCAGTTAGATTTGTTCAATCTTGAACTTCTGCTTCGGAATTTTCAGACATCTCTTTGCGAATGTGTAAAATTTTACGAACAAAATACTTCAGATCCTGGACAAGCATTTCGTCAGCAAATACGTCCAACTGTATAGCTCCACATAAAAACTTTTCAGAAATATGGGCACCCATGGAGAAGTTCAAGCGAGAGTTCAAGGCATTTTCGAGATATGTATTTTACATAACTTCTTGCCATTTACTCCAGCCTCCAGCTATTGTTCGATCGGAATATGCCGAAATATCTACTTCGATACCTTAATTTGATCACCAAGCTCATCCGTTCATCGTGATGTGGGAAATCTGATTTTGATTACTAACATTCATATTGTATTTTTGTTGCTACCTATATTAGGTATATACCTATTTCTAAACATGAATAATTGCGTTAGTGAATTCTGATATTCATGTAGCATATCGGCACGTATATTTGAAAAAATATCAACGTTTTGGTAGATAACTACATAATTGATAGTGTTCCATTGTCATAATCTAACAATGTCACAAAAATTGTCTCTCCATAACGACTATCTAAAGTTTACATTTTCTTAACTAAATACTGTTTTCCAATATCTAACAAAAAAAAAGATTCATGTTCCACCTGCATGTTGAACAAATTATCGATTTTTTCAATTGTATCTTTAGAAAGAGACATTGTTTTATAAAAAATACAGAAATTAATAATAAATGTTTATAAGAAAAAGAAAAACAGAAATTCAACTACACAAATATCAGAATACTCGACACAACTTCTTCACTGACTAAAATACACTGATTATGTTCAGCATTTTCAGGATTAATTCGACTTATAAAACCAATATATGTATGGTGGAAGGTGGAGTTTTCAAGGCGCATCTTCGATGATGTTTGGTATACCTATCTGGCCCACGTGTGTGCATTTAATGCATCTACACGTGCTTGTGTTGGTATATCAAAATGCATTTTTAAGGTATCAAATTACACATAGTTTGACACTCATTTTCAAAAACACATGTTTAATGCACCTGCAAATCACTGGTTTACTCTAGAACAACAAACCACATGTAGGTATGATGGCGCTGCGATATTTCGCCCACGTGTGCTTGTGTTTACTGTATCAAATTACACATCGTTTAACTCTCATTTTCAAAAACACGTGTATAACGCACCTCTTTTACTCCAGAATACCAAGCCACATGTGTGATGCAGCTGCGACATCAAATGACATGTGCGGGGTATCAAATTACCGAACACCTGCGAAATGGGGAGGAGAAATCAAAAAGTCTATAATCTCTTACTTACGATTTCGTAATTTGACACATTTTTTTTAGCAATAAACAAAAAAGAACTTACCGGGGTAACTTTGTGACATGTAATTATTCATTAATTCAAAGAATGTTTTTATGACATAGTTATGTTCTCAAAAGAATATTATACCAATATGCTTGAAATATTCTTAGAATATGTCTACATATTATTATATCATTCTCAATATGCATCCTAGACATAACATTCTTGTTTGATTCTAAGAATATACTTGAAATGTTAATTTTCGCATCCAAATAATGCCCCTTTCAGTCCTTTTATATGAAAGGCAGTGAAAGATTTGTTGTAAAATTTCTCTGGAAAACACAAGTGTTTAACCAAAGCTCCGGTTTCAAGCTTGTTATGCTCTCATCGCGGTAAGCACGCCAACTGAGAGAAACAGGTTCCAAGGTGATTCAAACGCTAGGCAAGATGTAGATCTTTAATAGTGCGTGGCTCCCTCTCTTGGAAGTCCTACGAAGCAAAATAAAAAGAATATACCTACAATATTTTTAGTAGATTCTAGATAGAGCATCATTGTTTAATTGTTCAATGAAGATTTTTGAGTAGGTACTTTAGATAATTAGGTGAGCAATATGAAAATATTCTTATCATGGTTACCCACCTACATAAACTTCTCGGCGCAACTTGGTAGGTATATTCTTAATACTTGATAGAGATATTAGCCGAAAGAATATTTTTTACGGTACATTATAATAATGTTCGTATGACAATATTCAAATAATGTTATATAAGGTAGGTTCTTAGCACAATCTTCCAGGTAGGTGCATAGAAGCAACATTCCTAGTACATAAATAGAACGTCCTAAAATGAATATTTCAATCGAAACAATCATAGAATATTCATTAAACATTCCTAAAAAAACATTCCAAAAAGCACTTTGGGGGAATATTCTGAGAATATGAATGTTCTTTCAGTGTTATATGGGTATATTGCGTTTTTATCCGTCAGATTTCATTGTCTGGTACTTTATCAGAAAGTGAATAGACCGGGCATAGTTCTAGGTAATTTTTAATAAATTATAGTTAATTTTTAACTATGTATATTTTTTGGTAAAACAAAAAGATTAAGATTAAGCGATTCAGGATTTCAGAAAAAAAAAAAAAAAAAACAAATCCATTCCATTTGAAAATCGGTCAAGAACTGGGAAGTTGACTCAAAACACATGTGAAAATTGAAAAGTAGATCAAGCCATCCTCTATATATCGCAAATCACTCTGTATATGCATTTAGCCTTGTAAATTCTACAAATTTTTTCTTGATGCATATCCGCCTGGAAAATTTTACTGCTTTCCACTTTCATAAGTTGCATTAATAATTTTCTCTGAAGTGGTTCTATCTTATAGGTACAGTTAATCCTGATTTCAATTTATTTTCTCCCACAAAAGGTAGGTATACTATTTCAAGTTTGAATATAGAAGCTTGGGGCTTTTCCAATTTATTATAAGTGCCGTATTATTTTTCTATTCGACCTATAATAATAACATTTTAAAGGTTGCTATTTAGGTAAATATACTTTTAAATTTTCCAGGTTTATAGTTTTCTTTTGCTGTCTCCTGCAAAACTTCCCTATACTAAACATATTATCTAGAAGTGTCTTAACGTATTGATCCAAATTTAAAATCCATATATCTTTTTTCACAGAATGGGATTCGTTCAAAAGCGATGCAACTGTATAACGACGCTTTGGACCAAGTGAATAATACACGGCAATACGTTCGAGTCGAATCAATGGAGGCGCTTGATGGAATTTGGCAGGACGCTAAACCGATAATGTCAAAGTTTCTTATTGATTTAAGGTTAGTTGTTTACTTTACCGGCAAACCAAATTCAGCGAAATTAAATATCCTATCCCATAATTTCTGATTGGAAATGATATCGCTAATTATTCTTGTTTGTCTAATTTAAACTTTCCGAATATTGGATGTTCTAGAGCAAGTTAATTAAAAAACAGTAGTGCCTGCTACCATTAAAATTTAATTTTATTAGTATGCAGGAGCAATTTGGCGTGAAAATACCCGTAATTTTTGGATGCAATAGTGCAATACTTTGTTTTAAATTGAGTTGAAGAATTTTTGGTGGGAATTACAGATAAAACAACAACAGATATTTTATTTAGTTGTGGACTCATAGCCGTTAAACGTTACGATGATCGTAAACCATTAGAGAGACAAAGATTTTGGAAAACATTTCGGTCTGTTAACGAAAACTATTATTTTTTTCAAGTGAGTAAGTGAAATAGTTGGGCTTGAGAGACAAACAATCTCCATATTTGTTTTCTTTTCCTTTTCCACAAGTGGTTTCGTGAAGATGTCATTTTCAGTTAGGTATGTTGTTTTATTAAACTTCCTTTAGGCCGGTCGTCCTTTGGATGCGTTTTTGTCCGAATTGCATTCGTCCCTTTTCAGTAAAATTTAATGACGGTCGTATATTGTACCTGAAATTATTCCTGCGAATTCGACGAAAACATGCGACTGCGTTTGATCCGAAAAAATTGGATTTTTCACAGTAGTTTTGACGATTTGTGTGTGTTGAGTGTGTTGCTGCTGAGAAGATAGAGATATGGATATCGAAAAATTGATAATATTCCGGGGGCCGAGGCCCTTTTTTCCAAATCATTAATAACAAGCTAGTTTTTTCAATGCAGCTTGATTTCACCGAGTCGCCCAACTTTTTTCTCACGAAAATTGCGAAAACAGGTAGCTAACATACTGCGCAGGTGTAAAACATGTTGATTTGGTGATTATGAAAATTTAATTAATAACAGTTAGATTTTTAGCTAAATGTTGAGATAATTTTATGAATAATTTGAAACAATATTTGTCCGACAAAATAAAGGGTTTGGTCTATGATGTCCCCCCCCCCCCCAAACATGTAGCAATTACGTTACATAAAAAATGATTAATAACCAGATGATTTTTTTACTGTAGCTTAGTAAATATTACTACAATTAAATGGTCACACTGTCCTACAAATAAAGAGGTAACTTTTTCCAGTCCTTCACTCAAAAATTGTCGACTTCACGTTAATATTTGTCTCATTAATAACTGTAGGTCACAAAAGCCACATGATAGATTAACATATTTTCTACCGAAATTAATCAATGTCCTACAAAAAAGTAGGTAGTTATCGCTAGTCCGACAAAAAGTATGTAACCGACGTAACCGTTGAAAAACGTATTCGATGAGAAGTTATATTAGAATGAAGTATAGGCTTTATAATCATATGTAATGTTGACTACATTAGTGTGTTCTTTGTCCTTGTTTGTTGCGATTTTCGCCCAAAATGATTTCCTTTTTTCCTGACCTTATTTGAAGAGTTATTTCAAAATAAATGGCACTTCATTGTTGCCACTTTTCCTCCTCTACAAGATGCCGCCATCAAATTTGAAATCTGACGTTTCGTCTTTGGGCCACCATCATTTTATTTTTTTAAATACGACCCTGGATTTTTTATTCCAGATTTTGAGAGCTTCTGATGTCCAAAAACCTATGACGTATCGCATTTATTCGAAATTGTTATTTTTGTATCTAGAGCGCGAAATGCTACTTTGGTGATCGAGATCTGATTTTTTTAACGAGGCGTAGCCGAGTTAAAAATATAGTCAAGACCAATGTATTTCGCGCCCGAGTTGCAAACAATATTTTTTCTACAACTCCATTCAAATGTCGATCATTCGAAGCCAAAATTGCATTCTCAATCAAAGGTAGGTGAATTTTAATTATTTTTGGTTTCCTGACAGGTATGTGTCACTATGGGAACGTTAAAAAATCAATACCTGGGAAAAAAAGTGTCACTTCGCATGTCATGAGTGTGCGAACTTCATCATTTTTTGACAGTTATAGAAAAAAATATTTTTTTTTTTTACCTTTCAGTATTTCCAATTTCCTATTAAAATTCTCTTCTCTGTCTCTCTCTAACACATTTAGTTCTTATGGAAAGTGCCGATACTATAATTTCTTCGAATAAGTGCAATACGTCATTGGTTTTGAGACCTCAGAAGACGAAACGTCAGATTTTAAATTTTATGGTGGCATCTTATAGAGGAGAAAAAGTGGCAACAATGAAGTGCCATTTATTTTGAAATATCTGTTCAAAGAGGGTGAGGAAAAAATGAAATCATTCTGGGCGAATTTCGGTTCTTTCCGGATATCTCAATGGTCTCAAAATTGCGCAATGTATAATGAACATAATACAGACAATTTTTTTTTTTTTTTTATTTTCTTTATTTGGAGCTTGGGACAAATATAGTTATTGAAAAATATTGTTTTTATTTTAAGGAACTAATTTTTTATGACTTTTTTTAAAATAAATATTTACTAACGGGTCGATTCTGTGCACATCTGTAAGCAAATCTATAAATTTCTATAAGCCTATAGGACAATTTGCAATTCTGCACTTCCTCTAGCTCACAGAAAATCTTATAAAATCGATGCGTTTTGCAGTGTCTATATATATATATTATAGAAAAGTTATGGATTTGCTTACATATGTGCACAGAATCGAGCTGTAAGCTACATTAAAAAAATCAACTGGTTATTAATCATTTTTTATGTAACGTATCTGCTACATGTTTGAGAAGCGGGACAGTCTAGACCAAACCATTTATTTTGTCGGACAAATGTTGTTTCATATTATTCATGAAACTATCTCAGCATTTAGCTACAAAATTAACTGTTATTATTTACATTTGTATGATCACCAAAAATAGACATGTTTTTCACCTGCGCACCCTGTTAGCTACCTGTTTTTGAAATTTTCGCAAAAGAAAATTTGGGCGTCTTATCAAAATGAAGATGCTCACGAAGATTTAGCCGGTTATTAATGAAAAAAGTTAAATCGTGAAATTGACAACTTTTGAGTGTAGGACTGAAAATAGTTACCTGTTTATTTGTAGGACAGTGTGACCATTTAATTGTTATAATATTTACCAACCTTCATTGAAAAAATCAACTTGTTATTAATCATTATCTATGCAACGTAATTGCTACATGTTTGAGGGGGGGGGAAATCGTAGACCAAACCCTTTATTTTGTCGGACAAATGTTGTTTCAAATTATTCATAAAATTATCTCAACATTTAGCTAGAAAACCAACTGTTATTAATTAAATTTTCATAATCACCAAATCGACATCTTTTACACCTGCGCAGTATGTTCACCTGTTTTCGCAATTTTCGTGAGAAAAAAGTTGGGCGTCTCGGTGAAATGAAGCTGCATTGAAAAAACTAGCTTGTTATTAATGATTTGGAAAAAAGGGCCTCGGCCCCCGGACTATAAATTTGATTCATGCAAAAAAAAAAAAAAAACCTTTTGGATATGATCGACAAATCATATCACATGAGACATATGCAGAGAAATCTGTGGCAAGAAGTAGCAGTTGAAATGAGTTGAAATTCTCCGAATTGTTTTCGTTTTGTTAAAATATCATTAACCCAGCACTTTTTCATAAACCTTAGTTGCTCTGGCTTGATCAATCCTCTTTTCATATTTGTTGCCGAGCTAATTACTGTTTTTTTCTTCCGTTCAGTTTTTGAATTTCTGATTCTATTCATTGTATAAATTGTTTAGACTTATTGTTTTTCTCTATTTGATTTTCTCTTCTCTTATATTTGGTATGGTTTTGAAAATGCATCAAATTTCATTTTCTTGCAATGCAAATCGCGAAAAGTTTCAGGAAATATTCTGACTTTAAATATAACCTATTGTAGGGTTATAAAAAAATAATTATAGATGGTCAGCTATAACGGATAAGTTGATCCAAATCTTGCTCCAGAGAATCGCTAAACAATGTCAAGACCAGTGATTCTTTGGTACCTATCAGAGTGTATCAGGTTTGACTACAAGAATTTTAACTAATGAACATATGGCCCATTTAGAACAAAAAAAGTTAATACAACATGGGGTCCAAACTCAACCATTTTAAAGAAAAAGGCCTTTGAAGTTTTGATATTTTTTGACAAATATTTGAAAGATGAAGAAAATTTTAATCAGTATGAGATGTATAAGAATTTGGTTCATTCAATTATTAAGTAATAGGCCCCTTGCATCAAATTTTTTTATTATTAATTTCGATAGTTCATGAAAAATAAGTCAACACGTTTTTTTTCTTTTTCTTCTTAGTCAAAAATTGACGGAAATACAACGCTTTGAAATGTGCCTATTTTAGATATCCTATGACGTCACTCCATGCTGAGTATATCTATATGTACAAAACTTAATATTTGTATAGCTACCGGAATAATCATATTTGGGCGAAATTAAAAAAAAGTAACGATTTTTTTTCAATTTCCTACAGTTTGCAATAAATAATAATGAATTTAATTTTCCATGCAAGTACCCTATTATGCATTTTTAGTCAACAACAATAATGGAAAATTGGAAAAAACAACATGAAAATTTTGCTCGTAGTTCGGTATCTAAACATCTGGCAAGACAGCACAAACCAGGAATAGGTGGTTGAACTGATTCTTGATTTGTCTTGTCAGTTACTTAAAGTATCGGTAACGTGCGTAACTCATCCTTTTTTGAAAATAAAATATTTACAAACGTCGAATATGAATTATATTTTCGATTCAGAAACTTGTATTTTAAAAAAACATTTATTTTATTGATTAAAATACAGAGGTGACAAAAGAAAATATGTGGATCAAATTGCTATAGCAAAAGCCTGAAAACAAATGAACGTTCCTTATGGGACTGCGCTGGCTTGAATAAGAATTTAATGCCGATATAGCAATTTGATGTTTACTTTACAACCATGTATTTAAAAAGTCATAGAGGAAAGGGGTGAGCACATT